CACACACACACACACACACACACACACACACACACGCACGCACATACACACACACATACAAACACACACACACGCTTCCAACTCCACCTCCACCTCCACTCATATTATGCGCCCACGAGCCATTGCAAGTCAAAATGATTAGAGACGATATTCAAACCCTGTCTTGTCGATTTTCTATGGACTTACAACGTTCACGTAAACACCATCATCGTGTTGTTCAGAAGTCGCAATGTGACTCCGGGCTTAGTATGTCAATGAGCTTGACCGAATGGTACTCTCATTGGGCCGGATAAAGGCTCTAATACGCAGTTGCCTTGGCAACAGTTGCAACAACAATGGCCAATCAAAACAAATCTTGTGACGAGCACGACCGACAGCACGGGCTTTATGGGAGCTCATCACCCTCGAGTGTTGCTCGGGCTCGGACAAGGATCGCAAATCGCGAATAGGGAATATTTAATAACATGGCTCCAAAACTGGCTGTGTTTATTACCCCCACACTGCTGAATAAACATTTGCCCTTCGATGTTTTCTTATTTTGGGAATTCGAAATAGGTCGATATTAACACCCGTTGTCAATTTAAATGAAAAATAATTTATTATCATCCTGCACGCCAAGTGACCTAAAGTTAAATACAGAACCATTGGCAAAAATTTTAAGTTTGCCTTGTTTTGTTTTGTTTTGTGTGGGAAAGGAGCGTAATTTAAATGTTCATGTTTTTAACTTTCATCAAAGAGAAAGGTATAATTTGAGAAATAATTCCTTTCAGGAGCAACAGCCACACACACACTCTGAGAACACAATACTTTGTTTTGTACTTTGAAGAATTACGTTTCGCACACATTTGCTGATGACTATTTTCGGAGTCAATTAATTTTGCTACCAGCTTATTGAAGGCCTGCACTTATGATAATTGCTTGCACCCAGTCCCTTGGCAATGATAGCACTTGTCACGTAATCTATTGCAGAATCCAAAATAGAAAAAATGATTTCATGTGATGTAATATGTACTTGTAAGAATTTCTACGTCACGCGGAGGCGCTGAATGGTTTAATTTTCAAAGCATGTTGGCAGTAAGTCAACATTTCGGCTCCATTTCTTAAATTGGCGTTTCATTTGTTAAAAAATGTTTTTGAATCCACTGGGGGTGGGGTTTGGGGCGGGGGGTGGTGTGATGGTGGATAAAATACCATCAATTAAAACTTCCCATTCTCCATCACCATAGTCTCTCTCACATAACAAAATGTTGCCCTGATTGAATTTCTGCGCCCAACGTAGTAGTTATATTTACGTAATACTATGTGTAGAGGCGTTCCGTTTGCTCAAATGCACATAGAAGCCTTGTGTGGGTGTTATTGAACTCTGTTGTGGATTTAGTTTCTAAGGCTCTTAGCTCGATTAGCTCTGTCCTCTCGGAAATGGGCGTTACGTTTGGAGGTCCTGTGCCTTAATTAATGACTTCACAGTATTCAAAGGGGCGTTACCTCCATAATGCATTTTACTAGTTAGGTGTAAAACGGTGCGTGAAGAGGAAAAATTCCAGTCACTGGTTTTATTACGGGGTAAAATGTATTTTAGAAAATCATCAATCAATGGAGAAGTACTCAGTATTGCATCGACAGACAAAGAATCGTAGAATCGATGATCAGGTCTCAATCTGTCAGGCAGTCGTTTGCTCAGGCCTGCTGTTTTAGAAGGAAAAATCACGTGATAGAACACGATTACTCTTACAGTTGATAGCAGTTTTTCGTCTAGGTCAGTAGATGTGTCGTTAGGTCTGCTTTTGTTTATGACATTTGATTTGCTGATCGTACGTAGTTAGCGAATCTGAAACGCTCTTCTTCCAAGCTCAGATGCACTTATATTGCGCCATATTATGTTGGGTTTTTTTCCTAGTTTCAGTTTTGTCAGCTCAGGCAGTAAATTAGTTTATAATGTCCATTCAGCATGCTATTGGGAATGTTTTTAGAGCAAAATCATGACATGTTAATCAATCTTGTTTTGCAATCGCAGTCGTTTTTTTTCAAATTGCTGTAATATCTTGACATGCTTTAAAAAGCATACCCTGACCAACCTTGCCATCTTTGCAAATTACGTTCGTTTCATCTCATATTTTGTTTCCTTGAAATGAAACTTTTATTATTATCTTCTACTTTGTCTGACTTGCAAGAATTCGTGCCGCACATCATCAGCGTCTTTCCAAAAACTACAAAGTCGTTTTTGGAAATTTTGTGCAAATTAATGGAACGTTGAGCACCCAGAAACAGAACCATCACCACGGCACGAAATATTCTTCAAGTAAGAACTAGAAAGGAAATAACGAAACGGAATGGAACTAGATTGTAAAATGCCCCTTGGTGTCTTTATTTGAAGAAGGACTTTATCTGAAAACACACAAAAACTGACCTGGACGATTGTGAAATGACGTTGACGACATATCACTCTTGGCCATATTTTCCAATGTTTTTAATCTTTCAATCTTTGATTTTAAAATACAATTCACACTTAACAAAAGCTTGTGTTTGCTTTTAATTATAAATCTCTCTCGTTCAACCATCGTAACGACGCCCACCCCCCCCCCCCCTTCGTAGCTTAGTTGAACAAGTTCAAATGAACCTGGTTCGAACTCTCAAAAGGACGTTCTTGAATTTGTACATAGGGTTTTAATGACACTCCACCCACTAGGCTTCCTTGTCATGGATGTACTTTGAATACATAGGTCCTGCTTTTGAACTTCTTTCTGTGCTTCCATCCTTAGATCCTAAAACGAATGCACTTTCCGGATACGTACTTGAGTAAGCAATTTCAGCTTGTTAAGACGTTGATCCATAAGGATGGAACGGGTAGCACTCAACACGCTCTGTGTTGGTGAAATACCGAGATCCAAGGTTGCATCTCCGTTCAAAAGCAGAAAAAGTCATTTACGCTGATTTAATTTCAATCCATCACTGCACCGGCCCATACTTGGATTAACGAGCATAACTCTTTCAAAGACAATCATCCGGGCATAAATCATATCGTTTTCATCATGATCACCCACACAGAAATCACAAAGCCATTAATCGCCCACACCACAGTGAGTTTATTTTGAACTTGACATTTTCTGTTTTCTTTTTTTTTTCCCCAGATATTCAAGTTCTCAACTAGACCGTGAAGACAAAAAGCTTGGAAGTATGTAGGAAAGCAAGTCCAAGGTTCAGATGATTGCAGACACCCTCTTTCAAGTCTGATTCTTGATTTTGCACCTTTACCTGTGATCGATTGCCTTGCAGAAGTGAGTGTGGTTTTTTTTTTGTCTGAGTGCCTTCTTAACTTGGCGTATGTGAAAATAGGCTGAGTGTTGATTTCCAGTTGTTGTGCGCCCTGAGCGAATATTAATCCAGCAGGAGTACACATTAAGGAGTTGGCGTCAAGGAATAAACGCCAACATTTGTCCAAAGAACGTAGTCATTTTAGCAGCCCAGACGTTCGCTGGGTTCAGGTTGCTGAACATGGCTCTAAACATCGACCAGAACCTCACCTAGCGACAGAGCAGCAGCCACGCCTTAAGACATCATCGCGTCACTCAAACTTCCCTTGGTATGTGGAGAACCCCCAAGTGCGGCACTGGGCGAGCGAGCAACCAATCAGCCTGGGGAGCGACCATGAAGGGGGAGGGGCCGGGGAAGCACGGGAGGACGGAGAAAGACGAGGCTCCCTGACAGAGGGAGGCCGGAAGGTTTCGAGTCCTAGCGACAGACACACAGGCTCGCCGCGGCATTACTCGCGGGGTGAAGGTCACGGCCAAGGCGTGTTCTTCCGGGTCGAGCCACGAGGAAGCGGGAGAAGTCACGGCAGTGCCAGCAGCAGCAACAGCAACAACAGCAGCAGCAGCAGTGGAAGTGCTGATGGTGGTGCAGTTGGTGGGGCCGCTGGAGGAAGCCTTGTAAGGGCAGGAAGCAGCGAGAGTAGTGCCCACTCAGGGAAATCTTTGTTGTCCAGGAGAAAGAAAAACAGCCCCAAACGGATATCGGTAGGCCCTGCTACCGTCCGAAACGACACCAAGGAGGCACAATCATACAGACGGCACCCCCAACAGCTGCCTAATAGGGGTGGCGGTAGTGGAAGCACCAGCGCTTCTGGGGGCAGCAGTGAGGATCAGGAGGTTGTGACTCACTACGACACCGCCAGCACCTGCATAAGTGCTGGCACCACGAAAAGCCACAAGGTCAACGGCTTGTCTGCTCATAGCTCACACGATCACTCTACAGCTGGGACAAGTTCTGGGGGGCCGCAGATTAAAATCTATCACAGCGATTACCCACAACCAGCGAGCGTACTGCATAACGCCAACAGTGGCAGTAGTAGTAGCAACAGCCTCGGCCTCTCTGATAAAAACGGGTACCATCACTCTCTAGAAAACGGATTCCACAGTAGCAGCAATAGTTTGAATGAGCATAATAGTTGGCGCTATAAGAAACAGAGGCAGGTTTCGCAGTCTTTAGAGAATAGTGGTCAGGACCCAGGTCAGGCTCAGAGTGAGACTGCTGTGAAGATCCACGACATCGTCAAGAACGGTCGTGAGATCTACCCGCCTGGGGTCGACTCGAGAAGCGCCACCCCTCGCCTGGTGCGAGACCACTCCCCCATTTGGGTGACGCGGACCAGCCGGCCGGGAGCCCTGGCGGACCCCGAGGCGCAACACGATGATGACGAATGGGCGGAGCGAGTGAGTTTGAGTGACGCGAGTGATTACCACTACCCAGAGCCGGGGCGGCACAGCCCTCGTGCTGGCCTCGACCCGGCGCGAACGGGGCGTGGCAAGAAGGCCAGCAAAGCCAATGCCCGTTCGCGCCGGATGATGTCTCGGCCTGGTAGGCGTGGCTGCTGCAGGATCATCCACTTGAAAGAGGACAACGCCCGTTTCCTCCTTCTGGCCATTGTCATGGTCTTCTACATGCTCTCTGGCGCCGCCCTCTTTACGGCGCTGGAGAGGGATAACGAGGTGGAGGAAAAGAGGATCTACGACGAGATAGTGAAGAACTTCAAGGAGAAATATACCATGGTCAACGAGTCGGATTTACAATACCTGCTGGATAAACACTCGGAAGCGGAGACGGCTGGCATTGTGGGCAACAGGAGACCAAGATGGGATTTCTCTGGAGCCTTCTACTTTGTCGGCACTGTCGTTTCAACTATCGGTAAGTCTTGTTCTGTCATTCTGTTCACCTGTCTCTTCATCAAACATGCTCCACACAGCTGGAACCTCAAAGATGATTTCAGGGCTGCATGCAAAATGCATTACTTACTAACCCCCATGTTAGTACTACTCTCATTGTCTGTCTGAAATTGTATTAGCTCTTCTTCTTCTTCTTCTTCTTCTTCTTCTTCTTCTTCTTCTTCTTCTTCTTCTTTTTCTTTTTCTTCTTCTTTCTGTAATAACACACACTCCTATATTCTCTCGCAATTTTGTCTGCTTGGGTTGTTTTGATTTCGAAACAGACTTCTATGTCCTGTTCTTATCTTCTTTAATGTCTACTCCTTTCTCTCTTGTCAGTACATCTGGTTATTCTGACCATCTCATTTCCTCATTTGTAGGATGAATGGCGTTTCAGATATGTCCGCTTTTATTTATCGCCTACTTTGTGACTGAGAGCTTGCCTAATGATTGCAATTAATGGGGGTCTGTTGCTGCTACAGAAAGCTATTCCATTTCTAATAATTGCATTAGGTGTTCCTTCTTCTTAGTACTGGCCATTGGGGAAAGGGGGGGGGGGGGTGAAAACTGTTGGACTAGAAAGGTGAAAGAGTAAAAAAAAAAAAAAAAGGAAACAGAAACGTGGGAGGATGAGCTAGAAACCATGAAAATGATGATCAGAAAGAGGAGGAGGAAGAGAAGAATGGGGAGTTTAGTCATATTTCAGACAAAGTGTCTATTTCAACTACAGTAATATTCTCAAAATACATTTGCTACATGACGTTTATAACCAGAACGTTGTCCTCGAACATGATACCAAAAAAAACAACCAACCTCTTAGCCTTCGAAACAGCATTATCTATCTCAAAGGTAATTGTAAACGATACAAAAAGTGCTCAAAATGTGAGGCAGCGTGGTGGAATCAGGCTCTCGTCAAAATAATAAAATCGAAGAAAACAGCAGTTTTCTCCCTGCTTAGCAATTTTTATCAAATTTTTGTTTTTGGACTAAAACACCTTTTATGTCAATTTACAAAATCATTCCTTTGATGATGTCACCGAAAACGTTGATTAAACACACAAAAAATATAAATTTATCGTTTCCATGGACTCTCCAGCTTTGGAATTTACCTAGCTTTGGCGGCCATTTTCTCACTAATTTTACCTCTAAAACCAGGTGACCCCCACCTCCTTCAATCCAAAATATCTCTACTTCTATTGAAGATGGATGGGTAATTTTTTCTTTGAAAGCAAGACAAATGAACAAGCTTTATGATGATACCAATAACTCAATATGCCCAAAAATTGACGAGAGCCTGATTCCACCACGCTGCCTCACAAATGTACTCTCGAAAGTGCTATAAAAATACGGAGCTACAGAATCCTTTCAAAGTAGCAGCTGTTCCCGCTGTTTAGTTGGTATTGTGGAGCGTATTGACGTTTACAATAATGAATTTCTTTCTATACCTGAATAAGTGCATATTTGTAACATGTGTTGTCTAATAAGTCTACAATGACATAGTATTACGTTGTCGTCAGATTCAGATAGTGTGGATATTAATTGATACCAATATAATAGTGTACAAGCAACCATCTAGAAAAAAAGCGACATACTAATATATTTCTCTACATATTTAGTTTTTCAAGCCAGCCGATTTCCATCTTATTTATTTTTCAATGTACTGTTCAGGATAAGCGTATGGCTCTCCTCAAACAATATTATTCAATTAACGGCTTGTATGAGAGTATGTGACGGAGCAAGGTGTCGTTCTATCGAGTAGCTTTAAATTAAACTTTCAAAAAAGCATTATTTGTTTGTTAGGCCCATTTTGCTCTTTTTCGTAGGCTTCAGTTTTGCTGGGGGGGGGGGGTTATCAGAGCCTAAGTTGGACTTTTCAGCCATAATGAGGCAATTATAGCCCCTCACTAGTTGATTGACCGGATAGTGCATGGTCAGCTCAAGCGCCAGACTGACGCCACATCCCCGTTTAAAAATTTAAAAATATAAAAAAATCATTTATTATACACCTATAATTGGCATAGTGAATAATATGTAATATAATATACGTTTGTATCGGTGTCGTATAATGGCCAGTTTATAAACCAATTGCGTACAAGTTATTAATTAGTGACCCGAGAATCTGACAATAATAATATGTTGGTTTTTGTTGACGGCGGTGATATGAATAAATGGCGTCTTTGCTCCTGTTTCTGATCTGCTTAAAACTTAGCTTTTATGACGCTAATTTTTCTTCTCTGTTACTTTACTGGTGTTCCGTTTTCGTTGTTGTTGTCATTGTCGTTACTGCTTTCTTTGTTGTTGCTGGTATTATAGTTTAGCTTTTATTTGTTCCTTTTATTGTTTACTACTGTGGATAATTATCTGAGAGTTTTTTAAATTGTACTTTTTACACTATGTGTGCAGGCTGTGGGTGTGAGCAATGTGGATGTGGATGTGAGTTTGTATGTTGTTTTTGTATGTGTGGGGGTTTTTTTTTGGGGGGGGTGATTCCTCCTTTTTTAGAGGGGAAGGGGCGAAATGAACATGTTAAGAGCTCTGTGAATTGAACAAATATCTATAAACACAAAAGTAATCGAACTTTACGGTGTCATTAAAGATGGTTCCAGTAGTGAACAGGGTAGAGGGTGCCCACGTCCCTTGTGACTCATTGGAGCAGAGGAAGATAAGACTAACGCTAACATTACTTAAATGAAATCCCACATCATCACTCATCAACACCTCTATTTCTAAAAACCATCATTGCTCTCAGATAAATTACTTAGATTTATAATCCTTGATCTCTATCTGTAACAGTTACTTGTCATACTAAGTATGCACGTAATACGTTATTGGGCACTATCATACGCACTCCCTTCTACTAATCAGATGGCGTCAATCTCACACCCCACACAAACTTAACCGTGTGTACTATCTCAGGGAAACACATGGATATATTAATATAGTATGCATACACAGAGAAAATGAAAAAAAGAAGCAGACGAAAGAGAAGAAGAAAGAATTCTCCCTTTTTTAGTGCAAAGAATAGTATTACCATACGTATGATATAAATTAGCTTTATACATTTGCTGTCATCAGCACTCAGGAACAGTGTAAACGCCCTGGCTCTCGCATGTTACTGTAAACTTCTTAACCCACTAAGACCTGGGTCTCAGCCAATGACCTACTGTTTAACCTCCTTGGTCTCAGCTGACGTCATTGGGTCATGGAATTTCACGTGCGTCGGGTCAAAGGTCATTGGTCTGTCATCTGCATCCTTCACGGATGTCTGGGTCGCTACCACCAGGAGCAATGCGTGATGACAGAGACGGAATCCAGTTAAGAGTGCCCCGAGACTGAAAGGTGGGGGGGGGGGAGAGGGGCTGCTTCCATGTGTTTGTATGTGTGTGTGTGCGTGTGTGTGTGTGTGTGTGTGTGTGTGTGTGTGTGTGTGTGTGTGTGTGTGTGAATAATATCTGTCTATCTCAACCTATCAAGCAGATCAAGTAAAGAATTCATAAACTGAGTTAAAATCCCCACCGTTGGCATTTCTGAGTGACGGTAGAGAATTGACCGTCCCACCGATAAATCCAATCGTATTTACTATTTTAGTGGTTTAAATTTCGCAATGCTCTCGATTTCAGTTCATTGAAAGGGACAACTCACTCTCATTTCTCCCTGCGCAGTTCATTGTCGGCAATATGAGACCCACACTAAATTACGTTTGAACGAGGCGGGTATTTAGGAGAGAACCACCATGAAAGGAGCGGGAATTTAAAATCGATGCTGCCTCTTTATACGTTTACACGAGCCTGTTTTGGGTGTGATGCATGTCGTGTAGTAAATTAAAAAAACATGTTGTTCACTAATTTGCTGTTGTTTACTTGTTCCACTCTCTGAGTCACAGAACAACGACAGCAAGCATCATGCTGACAAACGATTTGTGTAAAATAATATGTTTTAAAAAAGGAAGCACTTTTTTCTGTGGAGCGTGGGGGGTGGGAGTGGGGGGGTATTGTGCTACAGAGGGAAGGTGCCGTGGGTTTTGTTTTTAATGAAGGTGTTTTCATGCACTCCTCACCACAATTTACGTAGATCAATTTTGGAGACGGGCTTCGAACCTGCTTCTCAAGGGAAACCTGGGCTGAGAGGATACAACGATGCAGAAGAAAGACTCCATAGAAATTCTCCCCATCATATAGCCGACAGTTCCCTTTTAAAACAAGTATTTATCTTGAAGGGGGCTGAGGGGGGGGGGGGTTGAACTGGAAAAAGCTTCGTCACTCAGAAAGCTGATCAGGGATATCAGTCATTAGGGGCCGTGAGCACTTTCAGTCAACAGCCAGGCCTGTGTTATAACCTTACGCGTTACCTGCAACAACAGCCGATAGGCTTTAATGCGGACTGCTGAACTGTTCAAATGGAAAAAGCAATGTGTATCTTTTGTGCGACTTCTTTAGCTTCATGACTTACCTACTCTCATCTCTATACGGGGAACATTTAAGTTCCGACGCACCAAGTCTTGCCCCC